TGCCGTCGTTGAGAGCCTGGAGGTTTCCCATAACCAGACGTTGCCGGGACACCTCACTCGACGAACGGCAAGCCCGCCCGTGATCTATGACCTCAAGTTTGGCTACAACTTCAAGCTTGTTCCTAGAGAGTACGGTGACACACAGCTCCGTATCGATTATTCGTGAGTACCCCTATTCTTCACATTTAGTAATTCATCCTAACCTCCTTCGTCCACACAGGAACCAGGAGGGCTACTGGGACCATATCGTCACCCGCCCGGTATCGAAGAAGCGCAAGAGGTCCCTCGAAGAATTCGGTGGCAACCACAAGAGATGGCTCGAAGAGGAGTGGCGCGACGATAACCACTTTGGCGGTCTGTCGAAGAAGGATCTGCATAAGCGATGGTTCGGTGACGACGTCCTCGAGTGGCTGGAGAGTCTCGTTGAAGTCGAGATCGTCAAGACGGAGAAGCGCCATCTCTACGAGGAAGACCTCTCCGCAGTCTTATTGCGAGAAGAGTGGGACTGCGGTGAGTTCAAGGGCAAGATCGACGCTGTCGCGACTGCCGGCATCAAGATGGCAACGTCTTTCGGGTTTGCCCTCATCACGACGCTCAACTCGGAGACTGGCCTGGATCTCAGCAAGTCTTATTTGCATTTCGCCAACAAGGTATGTTTCCATTTTCGCTGCTTTTCTCAGGTGTTTTTATGCATATTTCGTCGTTTTTTGTGGGTTTCATGAGACTTTGAACATGTGCTAAAGGCCTTTTTGCAGGGAAGCGTGAATGCCGTCTTCACCCTCGACGCTAGGATGTCACTACACTGGGACTCCGAAGCGTTTAACATTGCTCCCATCTATTTCCAAGGCGCCAGTTTTGTTATTCCTGGATTTGGCTCGCGTAAGTATCTTCCAATGTCTGAGAGACAATGCAAATTGAAGTAGCTCGCTGACAGAATATCTAGTTGGCCCCCGCCTCGATCTTCGAGGAGAGATCAAGGCCGACATCACGGTCGAGGGACGTGTCGAAGCCAGAGTCAACATTGTTGACTGGGATATCCAGCAGACCTACCCTCAACACACGGAGAAGTTCGATCCGAAGGAGCTTTCCGAGGCTAAGCGTGGAATTGATAGGAGAGATCTTGCCGAACCCACCTTTGATGCCGAGATGAAAGGCAACGGAGATGTTGAGTTTCATTTGATGCCCACGATGGTCTTTGGTCTTGAGTTCGACGATGTCTGGAGCATCGCCACCACCGATGTTGAGCTCGTGGCTGACACCTGGGTCCGCATGAGGGTCGATTCCGACCTCGACTGCGGCTTCGGCTATGGTGTGGATGCCGGCATGTCTCTTATCGCCCAGGCAAAAATTCCCGAGATATTCAAGTGGACTCCTCAGACGCACACATTCAAGCAGGTAACTAGGCCCTGAGATGGCTGTCCACGTGAGCAAGTTCCATCATGCTGACACAGGTCACTCAGATTGAGAAAAATCTTATTCCCGGAAATGGCAAGGAATGGCAGTGTGCATCAGGGGCAACAGAGCGACGCCTGATCGGCTCAGGCTTCAACTCAACCGAAATCACCGACATTGAGCCATTCGTTATCTCGCCCCCCAGCCTGCAAAAGCGAATCATACCCTACGAATCAGACTTGAAGCCCAACAGCAAGGAGAAGACATGCCCTCCCAAGGGCGGCGCCGAAAAGCAAAAGGCATGCAATGAGATCACGGCCGTGGATGGCTTCTACGAGGGTGAGGATGACGGTTCGTGGGGCGCCGTTACTAAGCGCTCAGTTACTGCCGACGATGACCTTACCAGCAACTCGAGCACGAACCCCGCGTATCAGTCGGGCCTCCTTAACCGCGACTTGGAGAAGCGTGCCGGCAAAACTCTTGCCGTTTGCGCTGGTACTGCACTCTATAATGTCAATTGGCTAGACTGGTCCTCGTTGGACCGCGGAGAAATGTTCATTTACGATAGCAACGACTGGTCCGATTGTTCGAATAGTAAGTATCAGTTGTTCTCGACGCTTATACTATCCCTTCTTTCGATTTTCCAGCGACGTCAACTAATATCGCATTTCACAGTGGCTAGCAGCATCCAGAAAAGAGGAGAGCAGATCCTTAAAAACAAGAAGGGCGATAATGAGCAATACGTTATCGAGCACGTGTTGGAAGCCCAGACTTTTCAACGCTGGCTGAGTATCGAAGGCGCAGATGGGCGTGGGGTGCGGGACCTCTGCCGAGCAATGAAAGCGGGCGATTGGATGGGCTATACCCCGAACCCTCTCGATGCCAACGGAGCCAAGGTCAACCCGATCACTTGGGTTGTCCAACAGTCCTACCCAGCAGCCAGTTTTAACCCTGAGGAATTTATCTCCGTCATCGAGCCGGTCAACTGGCAGAAGCAAAAGTCCTTTGGCTCCGGCGCTAGACTCCAAGAAGAGGCCAGCTTGGAGAAGGCGGCCCAGTGGATGGAGGGCACACCCCTAGATCAAGCACTCCGGACGCTGAAGATCACTGTAGTCACCTTCAAGTATCTTCTCGAACCTGAGCTCTCGGCGTTGTACCGCGAACAGGCCACTCGTGTGGGTATAGCTCTGAACGTCATGGAGGATCACTTGGTTAGCGAGGGTTCCTGGACGAAGCGCAACCTCCAGCAGAGTTGGCTGAGCTTTGTCAAGACCAGCGCTGAGATCGCAGGAGGTAAGCTGGTCAAGTTGCTAGACACGTACATCCCGGTGGCGGAGAAGGTCCTCCAGGGCACCGACGCATCAAAGGATGACGATGATAGGAAGAAGAGGAGAGCCACCATCCAAGCGCTGCGCAAGGTCTACGATGATGAAATCAAGGGTAAATGGGTGAACCCAATGCCGTAGACAGCTTCAAGAATAGTTTAGGTTATGCAACTCAGACGATGCTCGTACACTGTATATGCGTCCTGAAGTCTACCTTTGTAATCAAGTAAATTCGATACTGCCTGTTCGAAAAGAATAGAGATCCAAGCTTTGATACTCACACCAATATGTGTGATACAAACCTCAAATGACAAAATAACTATCCTCTCCGAACTATGACCAGACCATATCATGGACATTCCCCTTGGAGGAGCGTCGGGACGAGACAATGAGTCAAGACCTTTATTCATTTGCATGCGACTCGTGAGGAAAATTAGGTCCATCCCAGAAATAGCATCCGCCAGTCTCCTCAATTGCACTGATCATATCAGGAGGCACGGTCCAGGACGCGTCAAAGCCTTGCACGACCGTGAGATACCATCTTGACCGGCTGGCATTTTCCCGTTCGAAATGTCCGCGCCGATTTGACCCCCTTTTCGCAGAGACATTCTCGACACCCGGTGCATAATACTCGACGAAGAATGGCGAGGGCTGCATATGAATCTCGTATCTCAGAGTCCGGAGTGGTGACATCCTAAGTGTGGTTTTGACGAGAGGTAGTATATGAGGCAAAAAAACCTCGGTATCGATAGAAGTCCTCCACGAATTCGCCGGAAAGTTCCCTGCTTCCCGTTCCCATTCATGCTCCGGAACAAAGTCGGACGTATCCGAGTCCGACGAGTCAAAAACAGCCTCAGAAGCGTCCGAGTCTGAGTCTGGCTCATTCTGATCCACATCGTCCTCTTCTTCCCCAATGCTAAGCCATTTCCCGTCGGGGGTTGTTCCGCTGGCCTCAATGTTTACCGACTCTAATAAGGACCCAAACTCTGTTGCCGTCTCAAAAGCTGCAGGGGCGATAGTCCAGAGACCCGTGAGCTGCACTTTGACAATTGCAGGTAGCTGTAAGATTCTGCTTATAGCCAATGAAAGAACGTCTTCCTCGGGACTCTGACAAAATGCCCCAGGATCGGAGCTTTCGTTCAGCGGGTCTGGATCTTCGAGATGAATGTCAAGGCCTTTGAGGTTGGTGAAAGCGCTTTGCTTCAAGGTCTCTGCGAGAGCGAGACGGATTTCTCGTCTTGAGGACTTAAGGCGGCGTGAGGGCATGATGCAGTCCCACCTTAGAGACTTGACGTCGGGGAGTGCCTGGGATATAGTAGTGATGCAGGCGGGATGAAGTCGTCTTTTGACGTTGCTGAAGTCTTCTCGAAGATCCACGCTGGAGATGGCCCGAACTTGTGCGAGGCCCGACGTGATATTCAATGTCTGGTCGAAGCTGATATACTGGAAGTCGTTACGCACATCCCAAATTGGGCTGCCAGAGTGACTGCTATCCAAGGAGTCAAATAGATCCTCGTCTGTATCCGAAGGAGAAGCGACCCTGACGACGAGAGTGATGTCGCCGGTTTTCCAATCACTCAGAAGTTGGAAAAGATCCATGATGGCTTGGGTAAAGGCAGCGTCGTTGGCGGCAGCTTCGCGAGTACTTTGGAGCTTCTTCATACGCTTCTCGCTAACGGGTGGCAAGTTGATAGTATAGTGAAGCCTCTTGATGATTTCGCGGCGACTGGTGTGGGACCCCGAGAAGTCATCTTGAAACTGTTGCAAAGACTCTTGGCTGCTTGTAACGCTGACATTCTTGAACGTGCCGTCTTCCGATGGAGTGGGTTCAGCCATTTGGACTGCGCTGGCTTGATACTCTCTTGGTGAATGTCTTTTCCTGGCATTTGCGACAAATCGCTTGTAAGCTTTTTGTGATTTGTGTGAAGGATCGAAATGGCTGCCAGACTAGAATGGCTTGCAGAAATCCCTCGGAGAGGGGGTTGCACTGCTGACTAAGAAAACCCCCCTGTTTGCCAAGAATATCCATCTTGTCTACAACAGGCAGTCTTCCTTCTTTAACACCTATATCGAACAGACTCCGGGACGCGTCGGATTTTCCCAGATGGGTAGAGTAGGTGGGTCAACAGGGCCGCCTGTCGAATAGTTGGAAATGGTTGTACATATTTTTATATCTCGACGTTCCGATAGCGAATACTTAATTAGAAAAGTACGTTGAAAAGTAACAGAGGGCACCACCACAAAACATCTCATAACTAAATAGCCGTTTCTAAACGGACAGTCTTATTGTTTATTTGCCCAAAACTTCCGCAGATACTGCTCGGCAGTTGTATAAGAGAGATTTAGGCAATGATTCCACTCATCAGTTACCGACCAGGCCCCTCTTTCGATCCCAAGTAGGTATTCACGTAAAACATTCCTTGAGACAGCCTCGCGCATTGCAACTGACACGCCGGGATGTTCAATCATTGGGACCCATGTCGTGCTGAAGGTGTTGTCTTGCACATCTTTCAGAGACACTCTGTCGACTTGAAAGGGCCCTCCTGTGAGTTGTAAGCAAATATCTCAGTCGATGTCTTTTGGAATAAACTTACCGCGAATCGATTCGCCAAGAGCGATCAAGCCAGCAACATCAATCGTGGATCCACTCATACCACCAATTGTCGGCCATTTTCCTTCGTAGTCCAGGGCATCTGCAACCGTTGCGCAAAGATCTTCAACAGTAGTTAGTGTAAGTTTGGCAACGCTATTGTCAATGATGATTGCCCGTCGTTGCTCAAAGTCCACGAACATGCCAAACATGGCAAAGTGTTGAGTAGTTGCATAGGGATGAGCAAAGTAGTTGGTGAAAAATCCAGGCTGGAAGAGACAATACTCTATGACCTATCATCGCTAAACATTAATTTGCAAGTTCAAGTAGCTGGGCCTCTATATCTATGTTGAAGAGAAACGCTTGCCTCTTTTGATTGATTCACCTCCTCTAGGTACTTCTGGGTTCGATCCTTGAATTGGTAATGTGCGATCTGGCTCTGGTTCGCACTGCATTTCTGTTATTAGTTGCTTCATTATCAGAAGAGACTAACTTACGCCGCCCATTCTGAGGGTGCAAATCTCCTCACGCCCATCTCAATCGCCGTATCGATCAACTTCTTTTGCACTTCGAATCCTTCGTCACTATCCGCCGTCGCAACAAAGGATAACACAGTGTCAACGCCGCGGAATGCGTTACGAATGGATGATGGATTATCATAATCCACTTGTGCGTATTGTACGTTGTGTTGAGCATTAGTGTCAGGAGCCTAAGCCTTTGTTAGCAACTTAAGATGTGTATGAACATTAGTTACTGACCTTGCGACTACATATAACAAGTGAATGATTTCCTTTTGCTATAATTGTATCAATCACTTCCCGTGCCAAGTCTGCCAGAGTCAGTCCTAGAACCGAGACCAAGCTAAGAAAAGCAAAATCCTTTCCTTCTCCAACTTGAAGAATTTCACTCACTTCCCGTACCACCAACGATCGCGACTCTTCCCATTTTTCCCACAACGGTTTTAGATAATAACGATGAGTCGAATGTAGGTTTTGTGGGCAATTGAAAACTTTCGCAACTAAAGACCACACTGCTGGTCTCCAATCTTTTATCAATTGAACCGGATTTCGCAAGGACTCCGACAGTACCGTCTGCCTATTGGAATGTTACGCAGTTAGCAATGCCGGCGACTTTTGGGTTGTTACTCGGGGCAATTCGTGTCCGATAAGCTGATAAATCAAACGCTAGATTCTTTCGTGGAGCAGAGGCACTCATGTGATAGTTCAGGAAGAAGTGGAGCAACTCCACCACAAACAGACGACGCTGGGCCCTGAAGAAGTCCGGTTCTCAAGCTGATCTGTTCACTCCCTGTCTAGCTAAAGACATTGGTCCGACTGTCTAGGCACGTTAGGCTCTGCATAGTCGCACTAGGAAGTCGATATGTCTTGTTGCTGGATCGTATTAGCCAAATATAATCACAGCTTGCTCGTTATCATCTTTGTCTCCGCATCCGAGTGCGACTGCCCATCTCGGCTCAACCCTGTTACATCATATTGTCACGGCAGTGGGCGTCAGGGCCCTTTGGGCCCATGTGGCTCGGCCTCGGGCTGTGAGGCTGAGCTCCTAGTAGACACGTAATAGGCTAGACTGCTAGGACCAAAGGGCCAGCTCCCTAGCTTCTACTTACTAATATTCTATTTTTCTCTTTTTTATATTAAGTAAGCAGTCAACGACATCGTCTTCCCTAGTAGGGAAGGGAGGTTCTACGAGACTTAGTATAATCGCGGGATGCATTTTCAATTCTTCTCTTTCCCTTAATAACGTCGTCTTGATTCTATTACATTCTAATTTCACGGTCTCAGCTCCTGAATTGCTCATTATCCCTAGTAATCACCCTAGTAGTGCAGTCTGGTGCTAGTCTCGGACTCATGGTGACGCGCACCAAGCATTGGACGTAAGGTAACCAGGTGACTACCTTCACCGACTCTCTGAGTAGAGACGTATGAAGGTGGAAGGTTTGCCACTTGTGATTTAAATAGACTCCGCGCTAGCTGGCAATTACTCTCTATAGAAGACACTGTAGCGAATTGAGACTACTACGCCTTTAGAGCCTGAATCCTCATCTTGCACCGCTAATTCTCCAGAACCATTCTATCCTCCGAACCCAGATCTATTTCTACCTCTGCTGGCGCATTTCGAATTTATCTTCCAATACGGATTGAACAGAAGGTATCCCGGGGCCGTCGGAGGGTGCGATGCGCGGGGAGTCAATTCCGCCGAACTTTTCCAGGACCACGAACTGTGTCTTTTCACTTGATCGCATCATATTAAGGTGTTTCTTCACGATGAAATAGCGACTGCCTTCATCGACGCCCCCCTTGTATGACTTCCCTGGATGTGCTAGACGGTCGCAGGTAAGGACCAGGGAGGAAATTCCGGCGGCAAGTGCCGTGGACACGGAGCTCCCTGTGATGGTGTCTTCGGACGTCAAGAAGGGTATGGCACCGGCGGCTACGTTCTGGCCTCGTATGAGGTAGTGATACTTGTCCTTCTCCACGTGTCGAAGAACCCTCCCGTAATGGTCGCAGGCCGCCAAGACTATTAACGATACCGACTCCCCTTCGTAGCTTGCAGGCCAAGCTTTTTCGACTCTGGATCCCTCGTCGTGGGTGCTGCAAGTCATGACGATGCCCTGATTGGTCGCTGCGTTTATCTCGTCAAAAAGCTCCTTGCTCGATTCGCCGAGGACGAAACTCATCGAGATGATATCGACGTCATTACTTCTGGCCCATTCAATCGCCTTTTGGACGAGATGACAGTTTGGTGGTTAGCAATATCGGAAATGGTGTTTCAGATGGGTGTGAATCGATAGGCGCAGATCGTCAAACGGCTTCGGGTCGAGTCTGGAAGACGTCCCTGCTCGTCCATGGGGAAAAGGGGAAGGATTTGGTGATTGGGCGTAAAACTTACCTTTGCTACTCTGTCAGGCCTTATTCCGAACGCATCTTCAGCAACCCTTGCCACGTATATCTCGCATAACGGGTCGATGGCACAGATCAAATTGGCCATTTGGGTTCCATGCGGGTTAGACACGAACAGCCAAGGGCTGAACCTAGAGTCCTCGCCTACGAAGGAGCGACCATCCTTAATGCGACTCCAAAGGCCGCCATCTTCCTCTTGTTCATTCGACCACTTTCCCGCTTCTGCCAAGACATTAGATTTGCCAGGAAGCTTTTCGATCGCGTCTCTCTACTTAAGGGTCCTACCATTAATCCCCGTCGCCTAATAGGGAATGCTTAGGATGCCGTTGTCAAGGATGGCTACTTTCGTAGCCCGCTGGCTGTGCCCGCTGTTTCTTTTGCAGACGGCGAAGTCGCAAAGGCGCTTTAGCCAGTCAGCGAGTTTTGGCACTACTTAATGGGCTCTGGCACAAATCAACAATCATTAGTTTCAGATCCAGTGCGGATTTCGCGCTCAGCCAAGGGCAGGTAGTCGTTGGGAACTCAGTACGCATAGGATTTTGTGGCTCGCAACTTATATATCGTCCAAGTCTACTAACTTTAGCGCTGGGTACTAAGACACTATATAAATCCTAGCGTATATAATTCTTAGGATTTCGACTAGTTCTAGTCGAAGCGCAGGTTTCTATTAATTATATATTAAAGCTATACGGACCTTTTTTACTTAAAAAAAGATATAATATTAAAAAACTAGTTATTATATAAAAAAACTAATTAATATTCTTTATAAATTCAAATTAAGTAACTTCTATTCTTTAAAATTAGTATATTATATTTTAACTACTTTTTTATTATAAAAACCGCTTTTTATAACTTCGATACTATTTTTTTAAAAAAAGTTTAATATATTTAGTGTTACTTAGGGTTACTTAGGGTTACTTAGGGTTAGGGTTAGGGTTAGGGTTAGGGTTAGGGTTAGGGTTAGGGTTAGGGTTAGGGTTAGGGTTAGGGTACAGTTCAAACAGCAGCTCGACGTGCACTTCTGCTCGCAGCTCAGAACCAGGTCGTGCCCGTGGTAGTGAACAAGAAGAAGAAGAAGTTGAAGTATGAACCAGCTCCCCTGAACCATCTT